TGTTCTACAACATAGTTCTTGCTTCCTGATCTATTCTCAGAAACATTTTTAGGTGAAACTACCTGAAGGGGAACTTGTGTGTTTGTTTGCTTGTTTGTTTCCCATCTCAGCCACAAAGTGACTCTGGGCAGCTTACAATGCTACAGGATCAATTCTATGACAATGAATATATCTTGTTTGCAAAATGATCCCAAGTTTATCCCATGGCAATTTTACTCTATATGGCTAGTCTGGGAATGTCTTCCAGGTAGAATCTGCTAGTTGGAGGAGATAGAAATTGACTAGATTTCATTTTGAGATCCAGTTTAATGTAGTAACTAAGGCATCAGACCAGAAACTAGAAACTAGGAGACCATGAGTTCTAGTCCTGTCAGCCAAGTGGATAATCTTGGGCCAATCAATTTCTCACAGCCCTCGTAATCAAGCAATGACAAACTACTTTTTAAATTTTGCCAAGAAAAGTACAGAGCCTAGGCTAGACAAAAGTCAAAACTGACATGAAGGCGCACATACACAACAAAAATTTTCATTTATTTCATTGATGCATTTCCTTTCCTCCTTTTTAAAATATCTAGGGTGAGGAAAACAATAACACTAAAAAGACTACACTATTCAACTTCTGACGAATTTAGATTTTCTGGAAAAACAAAAGAATTGAGAATTTTTTTATATCCACATGTTTGTTTGTATACGGTGTTATTTACCATTTTATATTCAACTTTCTAGCTTGAAGTCTGTTGATCGGACAGATTCTGGAAAATATTGGTGCCAAGTGGAGACCAATGGGAAGAAAGAGGAATCACAGCACGTATGGCTTATTGTGGAAGGTAAGGGGTCATGTTGCTGACTTCTGTCTGGGGCAGTAGCGATTACTCTTAGCTGCGAGAGGAGGCTGCCTTGATTGATGTTAGCCCATTTCCAGGGACTGTATAGCTATGGTCAAAACAAAAATACTCTCATAATCAGCCAATAAAGATCCAAGTGGTGGAAGGGAGTAGCTGTAGGCTATTACATAATTTTTGTAATCTTTGGTAGTACAGGACATGGAACATTTCCAGTGCTATTTCCAGAGTTGTATTTGAAAATGTGCATAGGAAATTGCTAGAATGTGGCTGTCTGCCTGTGTCTTCTCAATAGAATAATGAGATGACTACGTTGGTTAGCTTACCAATTGTGGAGGAAGGTGTAGATAATTTTTCAAGACACTGATTTGCCTCTTGNTACTTTTTAATTTCCCAGTTTGTCTAAACACAGCTGTCTTCCTGGCAGTTCTAACCAGCCTAACCCAGACCAGTTGGTGGGTGCTGCTACTTACTGTGTGTATCTGGTAGTGGGTTTTTTTAAAAAAAAAAAAACTAGGGGTCTTGTTTTCTATATCCTGGATTCATACATAAAAAAGGGGTCATTTTTATAAGTAACAGGGATACTTGCGTTCTTGCATATTCCAGTGCAAGAACGCAAATTGACATGGAATAGTCCATTCCCAACCTCTTAGCTTTACTAGCTAAGGAATCCAGAAAAAAACTTTCCTTTCCTTTCATCTCTAAGATTGGCATTAAAGAGAACTAGCAGCCAACATTGTATTAGTCCCCACAGTTTTCTGCTGAATCTGTAGTTGTCATTTTACTCAGAGTGAGCTTTCTCCCCTCTGGTTGCTTTTGTTTCCAGCATTGTTAATGATAGCTTTCGAAGATAAAGAAAGCTCTATACTCTTTTTTTGTTTTGTTCCCATAAGCTCTGCAACAAAACTAGATGGTTAGTTTTTGAGATATAATTAAACATTTCCTTGACATTGTTTTCCCCCCTTCACATTCTTTTCACCTTGACTTTGATTAAAAGGAGATAATTTAATTCAGCCTGTACTTCCTAGATCAAATCTGAGTTCTGCTGAGAGAAGATGTGTCATACAAACCAAGCCTTAGTCATCTCCCGCAAGAAATGTTCCAGAGTGTTTACTCCATCATTTACTTTAACCCAAGCATGCTTCAGTCAGTTGACGTAGAAAATATTCTTATTGTGCTTCTGTGTATGTCTATTTAAAAAGTTGAACCTGTTTTCATGGTGCTTTTGCCAGACGTACTTGAGAAGAAGCTATCTGCAAATAACGCCTTCAAGGCCTTCTGAATAAATAGTTTCTGGAAATTTGTAAATTGTCAGCAGAGCCCGTGAAATTTTATTGTGCTTCTATAATGAAATGGATATCTCAGTGTTTGCAGGAAATTAATATTTCAATGTTCTACAGTGACAAGCGTTAATGTTTGCACCTCAGGCAACCCTAACGAAAGTCTGCATTGGAGACTTCATGTTGTGTTGGTTGAATAATACTGTATGGAAGGAGAAGTCAGCTTTGATGGACAGGTCAAGGCAGGCAGCAAATTAACAGAGAAATCTAAATATGAAAGTAGACTTCCTGTCTTCATGTACAGAATAAGTGTTATCAACAAAGCTGAACACTGTCACTAGCTGAAACTTTGATAATTTTAAAAACTAGTGATGAGTGGTGGATCAGGCATTGAACTATGGCTGGGAAGATTCAGGTCCAAATCCCTCCTCAGTCATGGAAATTCTGGCACATTTTTTGGACCACTCCCTTTCTCTTCGTTCAGCCTACTTTACTGGGTTATTGTGGCAGGGGTAAAATGAAGGCAGCTTCCTATGGAAATCAACTTGAGCTCCTAGAGAAAAGATAATATATATTACCATGTGAATTAACAGCTGGGGGTAGAATATCTCTCTTGGATGAAGTTTTTAAGATGTCTCCCCTAATAGCTTGTACAACAAATTGAAGGGATGGCAGGGAAATGTTTCCTAAATGTTGTTATTATTTACCTGACATCTGAGGCAAGTATATAAGTCACAGTATTTGCATGATGACATCATCATGCATGCTTCATCATTTATTGCCTTGCCTCACCCGCCTTGCCTTTCCTATGGGCATCCATGGTTGTACCCCATCCCAGTGAAATGAGTTATACTCCCAAAGGCTTTATAATATTTCCCTTTCTTGCTGATAAGAAAATGATTAGTTTGTTAGGAGGCTTATTAAATTTGAGCTATGCTGAGTAAGGTCAAAAAAATCACAGATCCTTAAGTAATTTCTTTTATGAAGAAACGTGTGTGCTCTTCACTCTTGTAAAACAAACACATTTGCTCTCTCTGCATATTTCCAAACTTCAGGTTTAGGGCTGAATGGTTTGGCAGCATCAGACTTCCTGGAATCAGTGAATGATTTAACTCTCTCAAAATCTTCAGACAGGAATTGCACAATTAATTCATGTGGGTAGTAATCCTAGATTATTACTTATCTTCCATTGGTGCCAATTTTCCTAAACCCTTTTTGGAGAAAAAAAAACAATCTTCCTTCCACTTCATTCATTACAGTGTTTTTGTTTCTAGAGAAATTTCCCCCCACCAGATGTCTTCCAGATGTTTTGGGGTCCCATAATTTTTTGCCAGGATAGTCAACACTTGGAAGCTGTGTTAGGGAAGGCTGTTCTACAACATAGTTCTTGCTTCCTGATCTATTCTCAGAAACATTTTTAGGTGAAACTACCTGAAGGGGAACTTG